GACACAAACATTACAACTGAGAGTAGCAAGGAAGAAGTCAACTTCTTATAGATGATTCTATTGTGACACAAACATTACAACTGAGAGTAGCAAGGAAGAAGTCAACTTCTTATAGATGATTCTATTGTGACACAAACATTACAACTGAGAGTAGCAAGGAAGAAGTCAACTTCTTACAGATGATTCTATTGTGACACAAACATTACAACTGAGAGTAGCAAGGAAGAAGTCAACTTATAGATGGCTCTATTGTGACACAAACATATTTGGCAACTGGAGTATCAGCAAAACCTATTATCTATAACTCCAGCTACATTGTATTACAATGTGACACATCAATCATCATAGAATATTACCAGAAAACACTGATAATAGCTATACAAGTACAGCCACCTTGTGTTACTACAGTATGACACAACCACCATTACAAGATTATTTCCCTGTGTACGATAAAAGTTTGTGAGGGTTTAATTTATCAAGTATGACCATTTAATATCATTTATGTGTGAAACAAAATGGAAACACATTTTTGCAACAATTACAAAATCTTGTGTGCTTTAGAAGTTCAGATGGACAAGCTAAGATGTATTTTTGGATGAAATAAGAGTTAACGCTTGTAATATGTTTTGCTTCGTTCAGTAACTTCTATCAAATACTGAGAAATAATATTTCACACAATTCTGAAGATTTTATTAGAGAAACAAAACATAACAATTTCTTGTGTCTATGAAAATAAAAGAACAAAGCTTATAATACAAACTATAGATCATTCTAAAAACTATATTTTTACACTCAGATATTCTACATTAATTAAACAGTTCTTTTTCTCGCTCCAAGTGTAATTCTGATTCCAGGTGAAGCAACAAGTCTCGGGGACAATGAAGGGTTATATCACACAGGTTACACCTGTTCACCTCTCGTTGCAGAGACCTAGTTGTGGGAAAACATTAAGAAATTTTAAAGAAAATTACAGCTGGCAAATTTGTTCATACAAATAAAACTTGTCAAAGCCAAACAATTAACAGTGTAAGAGAGTTTTCCAATATTAATAAATTTAACTGTTAAGTTTAAACTGTTTTGAGTCTGTATGTTTTAACTCAACAGTCAAGTTTAATAACCTTAAATTGTCATGTAACTATAATAACAGTAAATGTCCAATAACATAATACTACGAGTTTTAAGAGATTCGTGTTTTGAACTACACAAAACAATGCTTCTTTTCACTGACTTGTCGGTGCTGTGTAATTATAAGGGCACAACAATAAATAAATTCCTTGTAGTTAGGAAGAACAATGTAGCGTAACATTTGTTATATAGTTATAAATGTAGATAAAATCATGCAACCAGCAAATTACGAATTATGTTTACACTGTTTACCGGCTTGCTTTAGTTTGCAGGTCAATAAGGTGCTCCCTCATCTTTTCAAGAAAAGTATCCCCACACAGACTGACAGCTTTATGGAGAGGAAGAACGTGATAACTGTCAGCTTCAGTACCTTCCAGACATGAACATAGCTGATACTCCTGAGGCACTTGCTGCCAACGATGACTTCTTCTGAATTCTTGAAGTTCTCGAGACTTTCGATTTCTGGATATCAATCTGAAACAGTTTAATGGTTTTCACCAATAGTGATTTTTTAAAGGACAATAATTTACAATATTGGTTTTTTTTCAAGGACAGTAATAAATGTACAGTAGTGTTTTTTTAAAGGACAGTAATGCATGTACAGTAGTAGTTTTTAAAGGACAGTAATACATGTACAGTAGTGGTTTTTAAATGACAGTAATACATGTACAGTAGTGGTTTTTTAAAGGACAGTAATGAATGTACAGTAGTGGTTTTTAAAGGACAGTAATGCATGTACAGTAGTAGTTTTTAAAGGACAGTAATACATGTACAGTAGTGTTTTTTATATGACAGTAATACATGTACAGTAGTGTTTTTTTAAAGGACAGTAATGCATATACAGTAGTAGTTTTTAAAGGACAGTAATACATGTACAGTAGTGTTTTTTAAAAGGACAGTAATGCATATACAGTA